AGAAGTTTGATCTAAGTTCATTTTTTTTAAATTTCCAACTCAATTCAAAGCATTTTTTTGTTGTTGTATGCAGTTTCCAGCAAACTTTAATGAATTTTTTTTATTTGTGAAAATTTCTACGTAATTCAAAAATAATCTTTAATATCAATCTTACACAGCATTATTAATATGATTTTGGAGGTTGCAGAATGTATTAAATTACTTTAAAAAATGGAAAATAATTATATCATTTGATTTCATGATATTTTGTATATCTTAAAAATAATTAATTTTATCTCGGATTTCCCTGGATCCTGGGAAACAGTTCACTTTTATCCTGGGACAAGCAAAAGACCGGGAAATGAGAAACCCTAGTGCAGATGCATTGCCAGTTAGGTTACTGGACTTCTGTCTGATCATTTTGCTTTCAGACCAATTAATTGATTTCAGATATAACCAATACTGGTCACTTTATAATTTATCTGATCTCATATTTTAATAAAAAGTTAATTTTGATATTGGTTTATTTCTTTGAATTAGTTATTGTAATTTCAAAAGATTTACATACATTGTTTTTATATAATTGAATTATTTACTATAGAAATGACTTAAATAATTCAAATTTTGACTCATACAATAATTAAATATTTTTTTTTTAATTGGAATTGTATTATTGCAGAATTTATAATTTTACTAGGTATTTTTAAATTACATATCATTTAATTTAAAAACATATTTCTTAATTAAACATAATATTAAAAAATAATCAAGACTATGCCATAAAGAATTAGATGTTATCAATGAAATATGGAAGGTATATATATAATATATACACAGTTGAGTCAGCATAAGTTGACACCCCAAGGGAAATGGAAATGTGCCAAGTTATCTGATATGATGTCTAAAACAAAGTTGGAAAAAAAACCACAAAACTACAATTAGGAAAGTACAGTAGTGCTTTATACAGTACATGCAAAGGATCTCTCTGACTGTCCATCACTGGCGCTAAAGTTGATTTCTACTCCAAGTACCTCAGTGATTTCCATTGCTTTTTGTTTCAGTATTGGCCCTGAAACAGGAAGATTTGATGAACAAATTTGCTTTAATCAGTGTACTGGGGCATTTTCGACATTTTTGTACGGCGACTTTCTCTGGCATTTTCGAAACAGCTGTGACGAAGACCCAAGAAAATGTTTCTTAATTTCCTCTTTTTTCTTCATAATTTCCACCAATGATGATGTTGGAAGGTTTCTTGTTTTGCAAATTTGTCTTGAGAAGTTTTATTACATTCAAATTCAGATACAAATTTGTATTTTTCCTTTAGCATAAGTTTGTTAGGCTTTGGATACTCATTTCTAACAGAAATGTGAAACACTTACTGCAAATAATGCATGAATGAAAGGTGAGAAAATGCAAAATTGGATTCTGCTGTGACACTAAGATGTGTGGTGTGAACTCATTTTTTTCATGAGTGGAGTTGACTTTTCAAATGTGTAAATGGGTGTGGGACAGAAAAAGTATGTCAACATATCCAGTGGTGACGAGTTAAACAGTGTCGAGTAAACTAGTCTTTTAACAATAATGCCTATGTAAGTCGGTTGGGACCACAAAAAACTGACTACTTAACCAATGGTATCGAGTTATACCTATGCCAACTTATGTGGCATAGGTATAACTATATATAGGTTTATCATAAATTATACAGGACTGTATATATAGGCTTATTATAAATTATGTTCTCTGGTTAATCTCTGATTAATATATCAGTGAAAGAATATAGCATATGTATATGATAAATGTTATTGTAAAGATATTTTCTGTAAATGTTTGAGTTGTTTTTTTTTATTAATAAATGCAGACTGAATTATTTATTAATAATTCAGTCTGCATAAATCATAGTCATTTATTAGTTCATTGGTCATTTTAATTTTGATTTCTCAAAACTTAGTGTTTGTTTTTGAATTTATTTACTTGAAATTGTTTAATTTCAGATATAATTTTAAATCATATAATAATAATAATAATATAGTAATTGTCAGTCTAATTTACTGACTATTTCCTTTCTTATATCTGTTTTGGCATTTTATGATATTTATACCAATACAGTAGAACCTCAAAAACTCGGCCTAATGTGGACCGAAGGGTGGCCGAGTTTGTGAAAATGCCGGGTTATCGGAAATGGGGTTAAAAAAAATAAGTACGAGTGTTTCCTCAGAAAATACTGTACTGTACTTGTATGTATTGTTTACTTGAGAATATAACAGAGAATAAACTGCCCAAATACCCTTAAACAAAGGAAAAGTACGTCCTTTATGAAGGCATAGAGCCTTTACTACATGAAAATGAAAATTAATGAATACACTGTGTACAGTAATTTACCTGATAAGACAGACCTCAGAAAAATACTTTATGAGAGCTTTTATACTTTTATAAAGCTGTCTATAATGAAAATTAATTAACTAAGGATTTTTTTGCCCTGCCAGGATGTGGCCGAGTTATCGAGAGCCGAGTTTTCGAGGTTCTACTGTATCAATTACAAATATCAGTGTCCTAATTGTAAAATGAAAATCTTGAAATTTTGTATTAATGAAATCAAAGTTTACTGAGATATTTTGCATAGATTAATTACAATCAAATTAAATAAAATTGATATTGAAATTACTGTTTGATTTTGAAATAGTTTCTATTTCAATAAACTTGTAAATGATTACTACATTTTTCCAAAAGATTTTAATACTAAAGAATATTCTAAAAATATTAAATCCTCTATGGGAATTTGATATAAGAATTTAATAGATTTTAAATATAATTTTGAGAATTATTCTTTTAAAAGATTTTTATTATCATCATTATATTAATTAAGGATACACTGATAAGCAAAATGGCCAATTACTGATTAATTGGTATCGGCCATGCATTATCGGCCGATACCAATTAATCGGCTGATTAGTATTAATGATTTATTGTGTTAATAGTATGAGATCCTGGAGCTAATTATACAGTTAATTATAATGTGGAAAAAACCCATTTTTCTCCACCTGCTATTTCTGTCTCCCTCAGGTCAGATAAACAAGAAACGATTGAATATTCTCGCAAAATCAACAATCTCTTCCTTTGTTTGGGAAAGTTTCTAAAATAAATCTCAACAATTAATTGTTGATGCATGGAAACTTTGACATTGTTTAAAAAACTGGTGTGTTTAACAGAAACAAAATATATTTCATTAATCGCTGATATTTGGACAGCAACTACAAACAATTTTTTAAGTGTAACAGCCCACTGATTGAAGGATGATTTTCAGCAGGAAAGAGCTGTTTTGCAAATTGTTTCCTTTGAAGGTTCCCACACAGCTACATGAATCAGTGAACAGATAAAAATTGTTCTTGAACAGTGTAAGTTGACAAGTGATAAGATATTGTTAGTACTGAGAGATTCTGCAGCAAATATGGTAGCTGGAATTAGGAATTGCAACTTAGAAGCAGTATCATGCTTTATAAATACGCTGCAGCTGACACTAAACAAATGCATTTTTTCTCAACAAGATGTGAAAACTATAATCACAGTTAATAGAAATATTGTCACACATTTTAATCATTCTGCTGTAGCTGTAAGCAAATTGGAAGATTTGCAAGACAGGTTAGGCGTTTGCAGAAGCACAAATTAATTCAAGATGTTCCTACCCACTGGAATTCTACATACTACATGTTGGAACAGCAAAAAGCCCTTGTCACATATGCTATAGATAATAAAATTCCTACATTGAGCCCATATCAGTGGTGTCTCATTGAAAAAAATGTTCTACTTTTAAAACCATTCAAAGAAATTACTGTGGAAGCCAGCAAACGAGAAACCACCTTATCTTCAATAATTCCCACAATAGAGACTCTGAAATTATTCTTATCAAAAGCAAAGAGCAGTAGTTCCTTTAGTGGCATTAATGCCACAATAGAATAACTAGAAAATCCAATAAAAAAGATTTTCATCATATATAGAAAACAAGTCTTTATGCTTGTCATCTTTATTAGATCCAAGATTCAAAATGAAATTTCAAAAAGAGGATATGGTAGAGGAAATAAAAATATGGGCAATTGATAGCTTAGAAGATGTTGATAATTCAAAATCTCAATAAGAATTAAATTCTGAAGCTTCCACTTCTTGAGATGATCAAGATGGAGGTGAATCTCTAAGTTTTTCTGATTTATTTGATGAATTAGCTTCTGGTAAACAAAAGAATGAAGAATAGCACGTTTTTAAAAAGAAAGAAAAAATGAAAGAAACGAACAAATGTTTTAATCAAGAATTAGAAACATATTTACATTTACCCCTTAAACAAAGACATAGTGACCTATTTTTGTGGTGAAGTTCAAAAGAACCTTTTCCTAATTTGAGCAAAATAGCTATGAAATATAGCTATAAAATATATGTGCCCCAGCATCTTCCATTGAAAGTGAAAGAATTTTCAACATTGGAGGTAACATTTATGAGCTGACAAGAAATAGGTTATACCCTGAAAATGATGAAATTCTCATGTTTTTGCATTACAATTTAAGGGTTTTACAGTTTGAATATTAAATTTTTATTTGTTTTATATGTTTAAAGTTTAAACTTTAAATAAAAGAGATAGTTTTGAATAAGTTATATTATACCATATAATATGTATCAGTAAAAGGAATAATTTGAATTGTAAAATTTTTTTAATATTTAGTTTGTCATGTAATAAATAATAAATACATAACAGAAATTTATTATTTTTTATTACTAGCATTATACGTAGTATTCTAACAAAAATACCAAATGCAAAATTGGCTGATTATTAAAACCGATTAATCAGCGAAGTGGCCGATACGGCTGATTACATATTACTTACCGATTAATCAGTGCATCCTTAATATTAATGCTTAATGTCATTGTATTATTATTTTATTGAAAGGTTATTGATGTAATTTTATAAATATAAAGCTTATCCTTAATAATAATAATTTTAAATTAAAATATTTATTTTAAAATACTTTTATTTATAGAAAAATATGCAAATGAAGAGTCCTATTTACTGCAAGCAACCTGTAAATGAAGATATCAACTATCCAATACCATCATTATCTACTATAAATGATATGGAAGAAATATCTGAGGTATATATAAATTTTAATAGTGGAAAAATATATGTAAATACAAAGTGTGTTGTAAAATTTTAAAAATTTTAAGGATGATGATGAAATACAACAATCTGAGAATAATAGTGAAGAAGAAATGTATGAATATGAAGAGGAGGCGGAAGAACAAGAGCAACAACCTATTGAAGAGGAGAAAATTTATGAAGAAAATATTAAAAATAATTCAAATTTAAATGAAAGTGAAATGGTAAATGAAGCAGTAGCTATCTGTGAAGAAATTGATGAATTATTAGATGATGCATTAAGTGACTGTGAGTCCAGCAGTAGTACAGAATCACTTGTTCCTGTTAAACAGAGTGCCAACCCAGAGGTAATAAATATATAATTTAGAATGTCTATACTATTTTATAAATTCAAAAATAAAATATTTTAATATTTAGGTAACTCAAACTCCAGTTAAATCATCAGTTCTAAATAAACCAACACAAAATAATAAAACACCAATATCATCATCAGTAGCAGAACCTTCAACAATAGTTTCAAAACAAATTGACTCTTCAACTACAGCTTCAAAACCTGAAGATTTGCTACCAAAATCCATTATTGACAATGGTGAAGAAGTTCCATTACTGCATACAATAAGTTTTTATCGTCGAAAGAAACAGGGACAACAGTTACTCACTCCTGTGAAGAAAATTGTTAGAAGGGAAGAAGTGCACAGTCCTCCCTCACCTGATGAAGAAAGTAGAATTGCCACATTACAACAAAAAATAAAAGTAATTATATAAAATATTATAAGGTTCTATTAAATTTAGCATTTTTTGGTATTTCAGCTAAATGCTATTATGTTAAAAAGTTTTTTTTAATAATGGTGCTGATAGAGCAGTAAAAATACCTTTAATGATATATAAAGCCATTCTATTGATGATTCTATAATTAAAAAATTTACATGTTAAATTGGGTTTATAGTGTGATATTTCAAATTTTATGATTTGAATTAGATTGTAATTCTGGTATTGCTAAAATCTAATAGATTTAATTTATAGACACATGTAAGACCAGTAAGGACTTTAAATTTAGGCAAGCTAAGTGAATGTCTAGGTTTCTGAGTCTAGCATGCAGCAAATAAATAAAAGTGTAAATTGAAATGCTAAACTGATTATGGTAACAGTGATTTTAAATATTTCTGAAAATGAAAGGCTTCAAAAATGATTGCTGTCTAGGACCTGCAAGCTTTGGAGCTATTACTATAGATATGTGAAAAATTGAAATTTATAAAATATTTCAATTAAATATAACAACTTACTTTGATAACATGGGATTATTTACAATTGATAAACTCATATTTTATACTCAGTGATTAAAAACATAAATACATTGTCAATTCCATGACTATTATGGTTATTTTGACATTGCTGTGATTATAAACCAATAATGAAAATTCAACTAGTCTATCCATTAATTTCACAAAATTGTTCCCAATGTCTCAAATGGAGAATGATCTTTCTACTAGGATATGCTTCATTTCAATGCAACAAAATGATAAACACAAATGAATGCAATGTTTATTTACAATTTTATTTACACTTAATGATTTGTCATTTTAACTTTCCCAGCTGTTACACAGTAGTCACCACTGAACTTAGACCAGACCACAGTTAACATGTCATCCAATAAATAGGTTTAAAAAAAAGTAGGTTTGATTCATTGCATGAATATTTTACGAGGGCTGTTCGGAAAGTTCGCGGCCTCAAATAGAACAACAAACAAAATAATGTTAAAACTTTTTTTATTTTTCAATGTAGTCTCCTTTGTTAGCAATGCACTTATTCCAGCGATGTTCTAGCTTTTTTATGCCATTACAATAGGTCGATTTGTCAAGGTGTGCAAAATACTCGTTTACTTCAGAGATGACTTTGTCATTTGAGTGGAATCTCTTTCCAACCAAGGATTATTTTAAATTTGGAAAAAGGTGGAAGTCACTGGGGGCCAAATCAGGTGAGTACNTAGCATGCAGCAAATAAATAAAAGTGTAAATTGAAATGCTAAACTGATTATGGTAACAGTGATTTTAAATATTTCTGAAAATGAAAGGCTTCAAAAATGATTGCTGTCTAGGACCTGCAAGCTTTGGAGCTATTACTATAGATATGTGAAAAATTGAAATTTATAAAATATTTCAATTAAATATAACAACTTACTTTGATAACATGGGATTATTTACAATTGATAAACTCATATTTTATACTCAGTGATTAAAAACATAAATACATTGTCAATTCCATGACTATTATGGTTATTTTGACATTGCTGTGATTATAAACCAATAATGAAAATTCAACTAGTCTATCCATTAATTTCACAAAATTGTTCCCAATGTCTCAAATGGAGAATGATCTTTCTACTAGGATATGCTTCATTTCAATGCAACAAAATGATAAACACAAATGAATGCAATGTTTATTTACAATTTTATTTACACTTAATGATTTGTCATTTTAACTTTCCCAGCTGTTACACAGTAGTCACCACTGAACTTAGACCAGACCACAGTTAACATGTCATCCAATAAATAGGTTAAAAAAAAAGTAGGTTTGATTCATTGCATGAATATTTTACATAATTTAAAACAAATATACAGTAATTAATCTTTATTTTTGCTAAATATTGACTTGATATCTTGCAAGTTTAACAAAATTGAGCCAGTCATGCATCAAGAAACATAGACCACTGCATCACTCATGTCAATGAATATAGACCAGCCAATAATTTGCATTTAAATAATGTTACAATTGCAGTAATTCTGTGAATGATATAAGGTGCTTTTTTAGTTTTATTTATGAACCTTTACATTTTGTCTACAATGATCAGTGGAAAAGCTGTTTCAGAAGATTTAAGGAATGCTATCTTTGCTAAACAAAGGCTTGGCATGTCTGAGAGAGCTATTAGAAAGAGCTAATGCTAAGCAAGACAACAGTGCACCAGATTATTGTTTATTACACTAATTACGGCCATGTTATACCTAACAAAGCTGCTGGACATCAGTGAAAAACTTCAAAAGTTGATGATAGGAGTTTTAAAAGAATCATAAAAAACAACTGCCATGCCATGGATATAGAATATAACTATAATATATAATGATACAACTGGAAAGAATGTATCTGTTTCGACAACATGCAGGAGACTGCAAGAAATGCATTTCCAATTCTATGCAGCACATGAAAAACCTTTGCTAACAGCACATCAAAAGAAGAACAGGTACAGTGAGCCAAAGAACATCTTTCCTGGTCTCAACAAAAGTGGCATGAAATTCTGTGGTCTGATAAATCAAACTTTGAATTATCAGCAACAGGCAAAAGCAAATATGTCATTTGATCTGCCGGTCAAGCTAATGAGCTATCGTTGTTATACCACTCACTTGTCAGTGAAGTTTCCTGCCAGCTTCATGGTTTGGAAATGTATGAGCACCAGTGGTATTGGTCAGTTGGCATTTGTTGATAGAACACTTGCTTCAGAACAATACATTAACATTCTTCAACAGTATTTGCTTGTATCCATAGCAAAGCTATATCTAAATAGAACCTGCATTTTCCAGCAGGATGGGGCCACATGTCATACAAGCAGAAGAAACAGTGGCTTGCAGAAAAGAACATAGTTCTTCCTTGACCATCCAATAGCCCAGATCTTTCACCAATTGAGAATGTATGGAACATCATGAAGAGATGTCTGCAAAAAGCGTGCCTTCTGACAGTTGAAGGACTAAAAGCTTCCATTTTAACTATCTGGAATTCCATAACAGCAGATGAATGTGAACTCCTAGTCAGCAGCATGCTGAAACATATGGAAGGTGTTTTGGCCGTAAAGGTGATGCAACAAAATATTAAACATGCAGTAGTCTATGTTCATTGACAGGGGAGATGCAGTGTTCTATGTTTTTTGATGCCTGTGACTCAAGTTTGACTGGCTCAATCTTGTTAAACCTGCAAGATATCAAGTTGATATTTATCAAAGATTAATTAATGTATATTTGTTCTAAATTATGTAAAAATTTATGCAATAAATAAAAGCTACTTTTTTTTTAAAACCTATTTATTGGATGACATGTTAACTGTGGCCTGGTCGAAGTTCAGTGGTGTCTGCTGTATATGAGGAAAAGCATGGTAATTAGTAGGAAAAAAAACTTCCAAGATTTTTACATATTCTGACTCATTTCTTGACTGAAATGTTGAGAAATGCAAAAAATTTGAGATTTTTTCTGTTTGTATGGATCTTTTTTGTTTGTGTATTGGGCACAATTTTGTTTCACCCTCTTTGAAGCTTAATAATTCCTGTGCTTTTTGTCAAAAATTTCTGAAATTTTGCATGGAGGTTTGTTTATTAGGGGGATTGATGCTATTAAATTTTTTCGATGGTTAAAGATAGAGGAGGTGGGGAGATAATGGGGATCATGTCATCTTCAGTAGGGTTGGACTTAATGATGATTTTACTCATTAGCATATACAGTTTTTTATAAAACACATCCCTTCCTTCAAAATCAAACTTTATGCCTTTTTTATAATAATAAAAAATAAAGTTTTTAATAATAAAAGATTATAACAGATGGTGCCAACAAAATTGTAAATGGTGCTGGAAAAGTTAAGCAACTTGTTGCTGGATTTTTTTTCTTTTATTCTAATCACATCAAAAATTCTTTTAGAAATGATAGCAAATAATTTGTTTTTATCATATTTTGATTTATTTTCTCCTGGCATACCATATTCACTCTTTAGCTCTCTTTCTTTGTTTGAAACTGCTCCTCATCCCTAAAAACTTTCCTTGAAAACAATCCCAAAACATATTATGTACAGTGCAGCTGTTGGTCTGTCAAGATTAAACTTATCTTTCATTAGTAAAAATGATTTTTTCCCCCACTCTACTCTGATGCATTAGTTTTTGAGCAAGGTTCAACCATACATGATCTATGCACTGAGCTCAGAAGAGGTTGTTGCTGCTTTTTATTTTTCTCTAGCAATTTTGTACATTGAAGAAGACATTTGAAATTTCATGTGTTGGTTTGAACACCTGTTTCTTCTACAAGGTTCTGGCAGAGAGAGCAGAATTGGATGTTACATAAAGGATTTAGTCCTCTTGATCAGTGAGATCTTCTGGTCAATCTGGAGACTTGTTTTTTTGTAGATGATATTTTTATGAAGAGAAATGCTAACACTTGAACTTCACCAATCTTTTGGACAATTTACATGTTGACAACCTTTCTTTTTAAAAGTGATATTTCCTTTTCTAATTCAGAAAGTGCTTTTTCCTTCCCTAATTGCTAGATAGCCCAAATGAAGTCTGCAAGGATAACACATGCACATGGTACAGTAGAAAGAACTTTTTGTATCCAAGAAAAACTAATATTCACCAAATAAATGTAATGTCTTTACCTTTTTGTTACAGAGTGTAAAAAACAGGATTTTGCTAAAATGTAGAGACACATTCTATATTAGAAAGTTTAATATTTTAATAATGTAAAATAAATATTAAAATTATGAACATGTCTAGAAATTTATATGTTCAAAATATTCAATCAAAAACGTTTTGCATATTTTCATTATATTGATTTTTAAAAAGATTTACAAAGATTGTATGGCAAAAGGAATTTTTTTTTTATCCTTCATAAAAGTTGTAAATTTTTCCAGTATTTCTAATGATGGAAATTGTTGAGATAACATTTCCAAAAAAGATTAATGAAAAAAAATCTCTGTTTATAAATATAATCAATGATAAAAAATAAATTGTGTGTGTTTAAATCAATCAAAATCATTTTTTTTTAAAATAGCAATTTTGCTATACTGACAATGTTTTTGGCAAAAGAAATTCTTTGAAAAAAGATATTTTGCAAGAGTTATTACCGGTACATTAATTTTATTAAAATAAAAAATACTCAAAATTGATTTTGAAATATTTCAATTTGCTTATATTAACATCCCAAAGCTCAATGTATTGATACTAATCCAAACTCTCACCATAATTAATTGGGCTATTGTTATACTATAAATAATAAGTAGAAACTAAGTAATTTGGTACTATCTCTTATCTAAAGTAATAATTATAATAATTTTTAAAATAATTTAGAACATTCTGGAAGAAAAGAACAAACTCGTAAGTAGCCATGAATGGTTGGTTATATCTAAATTTAAATACATCTGGAAGCAAGATTGTTTGGAGTCTGGATGGTGTAACTGGCAAGTGTACCACACGGTAAATGGAGGTTGCTGGTTCAAGTCCTGCTCTGGATTAGTTCTTTTCTTCCAGAATATAATAATTTATTAAATATTAGGGGCAGTCAAATGAAAACAAGATAGATGGGTAAACTGTTTATTATTTCAAAAGTAATCGCCATAACTGTTAATACATTCATCCTACTGTGAGACAAGATGGTCAATGCATTCATGAAATAATGTTTGCAGTTGCCTATGGAACCATGATTGTACCAAGGCATGCACCTCTTTGTCCAAAGCAAATCAACAGCCAAGAATGTCTTTCTTCAAAGCTCCAAAAATATGGAAATCTCATGGGGAGAGATCGGGACTGTATGGAGGATGTGTAAGAGCTTCCCAGTGAAACTTCTGCAGCGTAATCAAAACAACCTTGGCAACATGTGGACGAGCATATCCTGCAACAGAATGATTCTGTCCGTTAACATTCCTGGGCGTTTGGACTTGAAGTTATTCTGGGAAGCCTTTACACATCCTCCATACAGTCCCAATCTCTCCCCATGAGATTTCCATATTTTTGGAGCTTTGAAGAAAGACATTCTTGGGCGTTGATTTGCTTTGCACAAAGAGGTGCATGCCTAGGTACAATCATGATTCCATAGGCAACTGCAAACATTATTTCATGAATGCATTGACCATCTTGTCTCACAGTGGGATGAATGTATTAACAGTTATGGTGATTACTTTTGAAATAATAAACAGTTTGCTTACTTTTTTTCCATATGTCTTGTTTTCATGACTGCCCCTTATAATTTAGAGCATTCTGGCAGAAAAGAAGTAGCCCAGAGCAGGACTTGAATTCACAGCCTCCATTTACCGTGCAGTAAGCTTGCCAGTTACGCCATCCAGACCCCAAGCAAGTCTTTGCTTCAAGGTGTATTTAAATTTAGATATTACCATTTACGGTTACTTACGGGTTAGTTCTTTTCTTCCAGAATGTTATAAATGATTTAATAAATTATTATAATTATTAAGATAAGAGATGGCAGCTAATGTCTACCTCTAGTATCAAATTACTTAGTTTGTAATTATTAGCAAGATTGTGGCCAAAGTTTTCATTTCTAAAACATGAACATTGAGCACCACTATCTTGTAAGCAGCGCTTGATGTTCACATTTTAGAGATGAAAACTTTGGCTACAATCTCGCTAATAATTATAGCATAATAGCCTGATTAATTATGGCAAGAGTTTGTATTAATTTTAACTTATTTAAACAATATCATAGTTTTTATATTTTGGAATATTATAACTTGAAATTGTTGTAACCTAACTATATTGAATTATATTAAAAATATTGGATGTTATTATTTAGTGTCTTCAAGAAGAAATACTTTCTCAACAAACAATCATTAGTCAAGCAACCCAAGCTTTAAATTTATGTCATGCCACAACAGAATTTTTTGGTTCTACTGAACAAGTTGAAGGCGAACGATTATTGCTTATAGCCAGTAAGATACTTATGTTTATGCTTTTTTTTTATTTCTTTATACATAAAATTTATTCCTAAATACTTTCTTAGCTCAGAAAAGACAAGCATATCTGAATGAAATTCAGCGTCTAAAAACTGATGGAGCATTGAGAAAGAATTCAGAAAATGGAATGGGAACATTAACTCTTACAGATATAAGTTTAGGAATTAAACGAGAATTTCTAACGGCCCAAGCAGAAGGAAGATTAGGTATGTGTTTTCTTTTTATTGTAAAATATATAAATGTGTATTTAACTGTAATACAATATTTAAATGTTTAAAATTGCAGAATATTGTACTAATTTTGTTTTATTTTCTTAGACAATAATGTACACTACTTCATTTGTCTTATTCGATATGGAGCCCAACTAATAGCAACCCAAATGTTATCTACAGATGGAATTTCTGGAAATACACTCAATTATACGAATTATATAACACTACAAGAACTGCAGAGTGATTTTTGTGTTTCATTTGAAGTGTTTGCATTGGTATGTATTTGTTACCGCTAAAGCTCGAAAGTCGTTAATGTGTACATTACCTAGCTAATCTGCAGATTAACTAGGGTGATCCGTTAAAGTTGTGAAAACTTCCATTTCTCAAATTACCTAGATAATGTGCAGAGTATCTAGGTAATCCGCACATTACCTACTAGGCACTCGGTAAAGTGAAAATAAGATCTTTGCCACAAATAAATGTACCACAAATAGGTGTGCTTGTCGCAAAAACTAATTGCTAAGAAATTCAAAGTGTTACCAATCTTCAGACTGCACTAATAAGTAAGCACAATTGGATAATGTTACCTATTGTGAGTAAAATGGCAGCTCGTCTCTGATTCCAGCAAAGAGAAGAAAGGAAACAGTGGGGACGCACGTTCAAACCTAACCTAACCTATTTGGTTATATAATTTGGTTGGTAATAATTATGGTAATTTATTAGACTAGGTTAGGTTAGAACGTGCGTCCCCGCTGTTTCCTTTCTTCTGTTTGCTGGATGGAATCAGAGTCGAGTCGCCATTTTACTCACCATAGGTAACATTAACTGCACAATTATATCATGTGATCACCAGAAAAAGTATGATAACTTTATTATTTTTTGTCTCCGGTCCAAAAGTAGGGTATCGTTGAAGTCGTCTCGGTCCCCTCAGTTCAGATAGATACTCAAAGTCCTGAAATTCCATAGGTGGTTATCTATATAATAATTTCCCTAATTGTATTAATATTTTAAACTGTTTGATTTTTTGTATGTTTTTTAATTGGTTGATGATTGATTCTATCAACTAATTTGTTGATTGTTTGATTGTATTAACTTGATTCTTTAGATATTGAAAATTAAATAAAGAACATTATGTTAATTTAAGCGTAGAGAAACATTGCTGTTGTTCCAGCAAAGATCTTATTTTCACTTTACCGAGTGGCTAGTAGGTAATTTGCAGATTACCTAGATAATCTGCACATTACCTAGGTAATTTGAGAAATAGAA